GTGCAGTAGCATGACAGGAATGCTCTGTTGGGTTTGTTCCGACACCTTCCACTAGATGGCGTACTCGTACAAAGAAATACAGACCACTGGCTGAAGAAATATTCAGTACAAGTACTGGTACCACACTGTAAAAAAATACTTAATGGCAAGGAAAAGTTCTGCACTGAAAATGTTATGTGAGTAATAATATGTTACTCTTATCAAGAAATTGTACTTAACAAATGAAAAGTTAAAGTGCTCATAGCTGAAGGATGTCCTCTGTCTGATCACTCATACATTTTACTGTTGTAGTTGGTTGAAGTTGAGCAAATTTTAAACTATTTTGTATTGAGCTGCAACTAATAATTATTTTCATTATGGATTAATCTGCTGAGTATTCTCTTCATTACTCACTGATTATTTGGTTTGTAAAAACTGTACAAACAGTAGGAGATGCCCATCAGAGCCCGCAGTGACACCTTCACAACATTTGCTTTGTCAAAGCCTCAAAATAAATATTTAAAAAAAGGAATTAATCAAAAGGATAAGCAGCAAACTCTCCTGTCTGAGAACCTGAAACCATTTAGTGTTTTTTGCGTGAAAAATAACCTAACAATTTTCAGAATAGTCACCAGTGAATTGATTTCCTGTCAATCGATCAATCGTCCAATCATTTCAGATGTATTTTTACATTATCATACTTTTTGCGAGCACAGATCTTGACTTGTAAAGCAACTACAGCTGTCAAACAGTTATGTAAAAAGCATAATCATTTCCTCTGTAGAAACCTCAAGTTTTTACGCTTGAGTAAATGTACTTAGTTACTTTCCACCACTGATGTCCACCACTGACGTTAGTGACCACAGGGTCCAGAATTCATCCAGATGCAGAGAATTCCTCTGTTATCATTTAATGCACTCTATGGGCCATTTAAACACATGGCTTATAGTTTTAAAATTTGTATATATTAGTTTTAACAGCTTTAAACTTTATTCTCACCAAACCAGCATTGAAAACTGGTGCACTGCAGGAGGCAGACAAGATAATGGACACACTCAGTGAATGAGGACGCCAGCTGTTAACATGAATGACAATCATCAACATTTGTCAACTACCATAAAACTTCAGTTAAAAGCCTAGTCCCAATTAAATGTCCTGTCCCTTTCACTAGCCCGGTGTGGCTACATATTTTGACAAATAAATGCCTGTCTCAATTAGATGCCTGGGGTCTCATTTAAAAAACAGTGCATAGGACCCATACTAGAAATGTACGTACAGACAAAAGCCAAAAATGGTGTGCACCAAAAAATATTCAACAGTTTCTACAATCAGGCTTTCACCTCACCATCTGCATCGCCAGTTTTCTGTCTCTAAAATGTTCGGACACGTGGGTCAAAGTTTCTCCCATCAAGTCTGCTTTTAGAGATCATAACTGTTGCATAGAAAATGGCAGACACCGCCTATTGTGCATATGCCACGTTTATAAATGAGGTGCCTGGTCTGGTTGCCAAGCAGTTCTTTTATATACATATATATATATATATATATATATATATATGTGTGTGTTTTTCAAAACAAAAGACAGCTAATGGAGCCCAATAGTGGCATAAAACTGTAAAATATCATGGCTAAAATCATGTTATCATATGAAAATACAAACTGTGTTGATGAAGCGGAGCAGCAGGAACAAACTAAAACCAGCCAACATGGATCTAATGACCATACAGAGTAATATATATAGGGCTATCACATACTGCTAATTAATACTGAACCCACTTTTACAGCATTAAACTTCATTTTCAGTCTTTCTTATGATGTTTTTATTTTGTCTACACCCTTAAAACATATTTTTTAAAGTATTAAGTTCAAACTAAATAAGTGGAATTGGGCTCCATCTGTTATATTTATCTATGACTGTTTATTATATTCTAAGAGCTCAAATTAATCAGATTAACTGGGACCATTAGGAAAGGCTTAATACTTTAAATATACAGCCCAAACTAGATTATTTTCACATTTGCATTTTAAACACAAAGTCAAACACTGAGTATTTGCATGAAAACAGGAAAACTCAAAATGCAGTGATGTGTGAGTTTTCTGTTTATGTAAGAAAACTAAAGTGATACTAACAACACTAACAACTTTATCTTTGTCTGGATGATTGAGCATTTCTAAAAGCCCATTTATGGTTTGTACTTTTGTTGTGCTCTCATTAACATTTTTATCACCTATTCTTCTATGTGCTGCATCATTGTGGGTATAAAACTAATCATTTCCTGTGTCGACTTCAGCCCGGCCGAAACACGCCAGTTGGCATTTAATTATTTTGATATCAAGTGTGAAATTATAGTTGTCATCGGCGCAGAGAGCCCGGGGCCAGTTTGACTTTAATTTCCTCACAGTGTCAGGGCAATGAGCACACTTCTCTCCTGGATCCTGTTTCATCTGATGAGGCAGAGGGAGGATCAGTTTTCTGTTTTAAATATCTCAAGCTCTTTATTTTAGTAAGCAGCTGCAACCAGCTACCGACCAGTCAGCACTCTGACTGTAAAATCATTTTTGGAAATAGATGACATGGCTGCTGCTGTCAACAATTGTGGGGGCGAAGACTGAAAAGACAGTTTCCAGCAGTAAATTTATTTAAATGTGGCTGAATGGTGGGTTTTTTTGTGTGTGTGAATCAAGCAGTACTCTCTTTACACCGTGGTTTATCATTTTTCCACTGTAAAATAGATAACCAGTCCGAATGTTTCACATATACAGTATGTGACACCTAAACACAGATTTAACTTGATTTGGCTGAAAAGTTGTGAGTTATGTTGAATTACAGACCTTCTGAACATGTATTTTCTGCTGTACAGTATCTGAGGGTCCAGTTTTAACAGCTTGTTATTAACATAATGTATAAAATGTGTTGAGACCAGACAGTGAGATATTTTTGACATTTTGTCATGTTATTTATGGTCAAGTCTCCAGCTCCAGCGTCAAATAATTAAGAGCAGTATTGTTTCCCTGATTGTGGTGATACCTAACTGTCTTATGATTAGTATTAATAATCAGTTAATCTTGGTTTAAGTCATTCATTCAGTTAGCCGTTAGCTCCACGTGTTCTGAAAGTAAAAATTAATTTTAGTGACTTTAGGTGAGTTCCCCCCCTTCAGCAAAATAATCCACTTCACCACCTTCATATTTTCAAAATGAGTTAAACTGTGAAATTAAATGAAACTGTATGAATTGTTTCAATAAAAGCAAAATCAAGCACAACACTATGAGTCACTGGTATTAAAGACCAAATAAAGTTGACAGTTGTACTTCACGTATTTTTCTGCTGTTTTCATACCAAACACAGAATTAATTCCCCCATCAGCCTCCCAGCTTAACAGGGGCTCTCCGCCAAGGGACCGTCACCTAAAATCAACACTGAGAGAAAATGTAAACACAATACACTATTTACCACAAGTTCCATGACAAATACGGTAACTTACACTGTATAGGATATGTTCATTTTTATTTAGGATTTTTAGAAGCCTGAAGAGGTGAAGGTGTCACATATTTCTTAGGAAAAAAACATACAAAATTTTCTTAGGGCTGCAATTCCACACTAGTTTCATTGTCAATCCATAGTTCATTTTCTTGATTAATTGATTAATGCTTTGGTCTAAAATATGTGAGAAAATAATGAAAAATGTCTGACCAGACCCTTAGGCTACAATTAAGAAACTGGAAATACAAAATATTTGACTTTTTTTTTTTGAAAAATTACCAAAATGATTAATCAGTTTCTAAAATTTTTGAAGATTGTTTCTGACTATATGACCCAGTCGTTTCAGCTCTGATCAACTGTGTAACTATTCTTTTTCTTATTTAATCCCTTAACAAGCTTTTGACCACCCAAATTTACGTGGTGAGACACTCATTGAGAGCCATATTTTATATATTTCTAATGAAAATCTGTACAAAGAACCACTCTAAAAAATAAAAGATAATAATAAATAAATTAAGGTAACATTTTGCATACATCTTTTTAAGTAGTTCCAACTCTGGCATTATTGAGTAAATCCCATGAGACTTTGATAATCTGACAAACTCAGTTAGTTAAGTACAACTAACATTATTTGCTTTGATCTCAAAAAATTTAATTAGGCTGATCCAACTTGATATTTATCTAAACCTAATGGCGATATCTAATGGTCAAACTATTTTATTTAAGATATTCTAACTTATTTATTTTAATTCTATCATACTCAAAATGTAAAAAGTGTTTATGATTTTGACAAAATTCTTAAACAAGTTGGTCAAATAAACTGACTAAAACACTTTAATGAAACAAACGTAATTTTTTAATGCTGAAAAATGTCTTTATTTTAAGCATTATCTACGAACCCCATGAATCATCTCTTAGAGTGTAGCTTTCGTTAGAACATTTTCGTACTGTGGTTGTATGATGTTTTAAACTGAATATTTTAAATAACACGTTAGGTCTACATGTAAAAGTCCAAGTAGGGACAGGAGTTGAAAATAAGCAATAGCTATAAACTCTGTGCAACACATCACATCCCATACTCTGTATTGGAACTATGTTAAATTACATTGTCCCTATCAAATAAAAACTAAATAAATAAAATAAAAATATTGGGAAGGGGCAAATGTTCTAAATATTAAGGGAGATGTGTAAGCTATCCTGCGTCCACCTGAGAAACCTGCACCTACGCAAACAGGTGTCTCATTTGGGCTTGTCTGTGGAAAAACTGCAGGTAGATAAACTGTAGTCTGTCTGAGTTTGTGCATCATCTGTGGACAGCCTCTCACAGCACATCTCCACCTTCCTGCTCCACTCCCTGCCCACTTTATAAATTCACACCCTTGCATTTACAGACAGCCCCTGCTCCGGGGTGTGGGGGGTGTAATGGGGGGTGGCCCCTGCTGATTCAGAGGTTAGGAATTTGCATCTGATTACTGTTTGTCAACCAATAATGTGACTGTGCAGGCCGGAGAGTCTCTCCACGCCTCTCCCCGGCTGTCTCACTGACTGAACGCTGCGGTGCTCTCACACCGACACTCAAACTCTGAAAACATAATTACACGCAAAAGCAGAATGTGTGGATATCATGCAGTCACATGAAACCACTTTATTTCTAGCTGATAAACACACGAACCACCTCTGCTCTTCCTGTTTTTGGTGTGTTTCTCTCTGTGTGTGATCGGAGGGGGACACTGGATTCAGAAACGGGGAAAAACAGGAATGTTTCTTCCGGTTCCAACGAGTGTAAAAACCGAACGGAAGCCGATGTGGTAAGTTTGGGTTTATCTTTATTTTTTTGTTTGCCTTATTTACGCCTATACTGTCTTACAAATAATTTACATGTGTGTGTCTTCCTTCTTTTTCTGCTGCTTCTGTTTCACTCGTCGCTTACAGAACGCAGTTTTTCTGTTATTTATCGATGCGACGTTAGCAAGTCGCTAATCGATAGTGTAACGTTATTGGTAAGGTAGCGGATGGACTCACCTGCCATATGTCACCCAACGAAGGTAATATAACCTACGCCGAGCGTAACGGCACTATTTCTTATAATAAAATCTAACGGAAGAGCCAGTGTCTGATTTTAATACTGGACATTTCAGCAGTTACATCGAGTTTTAACCGAATATAGAGATTAAAACATAAAAATGTTTACGTTATAAGACATATTTCGACCGTTAGCTCTAAGTTATCACAAATATGTAACCATAACTTGGCTAGCGTCAGTTAATATAGCAAGCTGATAATTGACTGTTATCCTAGAGGCCAGTAACGGATACACCAACTGCTCATATGTTTGCCAGTAAACTACTAACATATATATTCATAATAATGTAAATTAGTGGCAGCACGTCGACGTCCTGTACATTTTCAACCCACCATTTTCGAGTTTAACAACGCCATTAAACATTCACTAACGCCAGTACGTCCATATTGCCCTCCAAGTTGAATATAAAAGCCAGTGCATGTGACAGCATCTGCAACAGGGCCTTGAAACAAAGTTTGGTCTGATGAAATGTCATGTTGGGGGTCAGAGCAGAGACAGTGGGATTATTCAGAGCTATAGGTGGCTTTATGAAAGGATTTGAAGCTGCTTTCTTGGCCTTTGGCTACTCACATTATCAATAATAGCCTACTAAAATCAGAGCAGTGGTGGATAGTGAAGTACATGCAGGGTTCCCACGGTCATGGAAAACCTGAGATAGTCAGGGAGTTTCACAGCCCCGTTTTCCAAGCCTGGAAAAGTCATGGAGTTGGTGAAAATTATTAGTTATGGAAAAAGTTGCATAACAATACAAATTATTCAATTGGAAAACATAGCTGTTTAGTTTTCATACAGTAATTAACAACTGGAGTAAAGTATACCATACAGTTCTGTTCAGCTTATATTTTGTGAATGCTCAGTACATTTTAGTATGGGTTCTTGAAAAGTCATGGAAAGGTTTGAAATTTTGTTCATGATAACGTGTGGGAACCCTGTACCTTTACTCAAGTACTTGAGGACAATTTTGAGCTTGTACTTTTACTATATTTCCGAGGGGAAATACTGTACTTTTTACACCACTACATTTATTTGACAGCTATAGTCACTTGACAGAACCAGATTAGTAATACAAATTTTAACAACAAAATAAGATAACATATGAATTATGATGCATAATTATAGATTAAACAACTTCAGTTATCAACGATCCAGTATTATCGATGCAAAGCCATCGTCATCTTAAAGATGTAGTTTGAAATTCCCACCTGTGTCACCGTTTCTGTCCAAGCACACCTCCTTCCTAAACATTCAAACAGTGCTAGCAGCCTAGCGCTGGGCAGAAAAGCAAACAAGAAAAAGACTATAAAGATATACTGATATTGGGTCATATTGATCACAGGCCCCTGAACTGAACCGAAAATCACATGGTGGCAGACTTTGTGATGTCAGCAAATATCGTATAGTTGTCAAGTATCATGATGAAACTTGTGATTTAGAATATAGAAACAAATATAATGCAATTTAAATACGTATTATACCAAAATGGGCCAATCTGCATAATGAGTACTTTTACTTTTGCTACTTTAAGTATATTCTGATTCTAATTCTTGACTTTTATGTGCATGACTTTGACTTATTACATTGTATTTCTGCACTGTTTTATTGCTATTTCTATTGAGTAACAGATCTGAGAACTTCTTCCACCACTGCAGAGTGGTAATGATGTTGTAAGTTACGGTAATATTGGTTTTGGCAGGGCTGCATTGTCCGAGTAAGAGGACTACGCAAATGTCAGCCCTGTTCAAGAGCTAAAAATGCATAGACTGCTTACATGTATTTAAAGATGCACAAATATGTGCAGATATGTCTCATTGTACTACCAAACTGATGCAACTTCACAACAGTGTTGAGGCTGTGTCAGTCTCTCTCGGGTGAAACCCCTCAGTATTTCTGTGGAAGTGCATAACAAAGGTGGAGTAGGTGGATAAATGAGTCTGTCAGCATCTGTTAGTGGCTGAGATTGAGAAAAGTCCAACATGTCAGGGGAGTGATATGGACACAATGAGCTGCCTTCAGTGCTACTGCACGGTTGTGGGAAGATTTACTGTATTTCACCAGCAGCATATCGCTCTGTGTGACGTCAGCGGGCATGAGAAGGGTGCAGCAAGCCCGTCATCACATGTGGATTCAAAAAGAGCACAAGAGGTCTTCTTACTGTGTTTTTCAAGGGAATCTGTTTGGCTATACCAAGCTGACTAACTTCGCAGCCAGAACCAAAACTGACTTTAGTGGTTGGTGTTAGAGTTTCTCACCAAGCAGTGGGGGTGGGGGAGTGCAGGCACAGGAAGCTGGTTTGGCTTTAAAGCCTCATATAGCACTTTGTCTGAATGGCCTTAAACATATATGTTCTGAAAACAAAAAGTCTGGTTTCAGTGGAGAGTGTCATTGTTCTAGTTTGATCTAAATGTGGTTTCAGAGGCTTGTCGAGAATACTAACATGTTGTAGTGTAAAAACAACTGTTTTATTATAAGGTTACACGTCATTGGCCCATACATTTATGATTCATTTTGCTGTGAAACTGACATGACAGGAACACAGTTGTGAAATGTCCTTGGCACAATGAAAGTCTCTAACATGTCTTCTGTTAACTGTGCAGCCAGGACTTACTGAGTCGATGAGATTATGAAACCATAAAACCTGCACTAGAAATTTGACCAACAGGAGCAGGATGAAGAGGAAGTTTAATTCTAGTTTTCTGTGGAGAAAAGAGGATTTTCACACCAGCTATTGTTCAAATACAGGTCAGGTTTTACTGCGCCTTGTTTCTCATGTTACCCACCACTTTGGCAGGGAACTAGTCATAATTTTTTTTTTTTAACACGCCTCAAAAAAAACCAAGTTCAGCAGGCACGTTGCTGTCCTACACCAAATGTCCACCACATGACTTCTTCAAGTTGTTGTTGACAAACAAAAAGAAAGTGTGAGGTGCTAAACAGTGGCACCTGCGGCTTCCCAATGTGACTATTAAGCACTGAAATTCTTAAGAGAGATTTCCAGGCCCTTATCGCACCCTGCACCCCACCATCCTCCAATCACCTTAGAGGCTTGCCCAGAAATTGCCACACTAATCTGTTTGGCCCAATCTGGCATATGGTATCCTGCAGCCGCCACAGGCCAACTGCACCAGCTCAGTGTTTCCAATGGAGAGAAATACTGCTGCAACCAGCGGGTGGAGGGAGGGTGTTTACGTTGTGATTGGCCCATTGTGGATAAGAAACGTATGGCTGGTGATCAACTTCAGGATTTAAAAGGCCTCCCTTTGCTTTTGCATAATGCAGCCTGTCCCTAATAACACTCCTTGTTATGAAACTAGGTTTACATAAAGACGCCTGTTGTTGGTCTTGATTTGAAGAACTCACGGACGTGCTGGAGTTTTTCAGGAACTCTGTACTTTCACATCAAAGACAGATGTTGAAATAGTTTCAGGCCTTGACCTGGTGATTTATCAAGAAAATACTGATATTGTGGTTTCTCAAATAGTAGGATTTTTGTCATTAAAATGACGTTATAGCTGCATTAGTTATACAATGCATGTCTCTAAAGTTATTACTGTGTTACAGAGAATGAACATCTACCTACCATTTGGTCATCCTGCAAACATTTAAGATTGTCAATATAGTTTTGGACTGCTGTAGCTATGTCAATATCTAAAGTATTGCCTCAAGAAAAATGTTCTTGTCATGCAGGAAAAACCTTTGTAACAGTCAACACATTACCAGACAGAAACCTGTACAATGAAGCGCTGTAATAGAATTAAATCATTTAAAAAGTTAATGCAATGCTGAAACGGTTGGTCATCAGAAAACGAATGAAAAACAACTTCAATAATTGATCATCATTAATCATTTATCGAGAAAAAAATGCTGACCTCTGGCTGGCTCCTTCTCTAGTGTTTCTGCTTTTTCAAAGTTTTGTAACCTTGTTAATTGAATATATTTGGCTTTTTGACGATTGGTCAGATGGAACAAGTAATCTAAAGTTCTTACTAACATTTTTTTGAGTGATTTGCACTGGATTGTTTGAAAAATTTATCAAAAGATAAATCAATAATGAAAAATCTGAGTCTCATTTGTTGCTTTCCAAAATGTTCTTTTCATCAGTGAGAGGCTTCTCTTATATCAGCAGTGCACTTTCAATGAAAGCCCAATATCAGCCTGATGCCGGTCTTGCCATAGCTGTCATGTGTCACTACTTGGCCATCAGCCATGTTTGTCTTCCCCTGGCTTTGGTTTGTGGTTTGTGGCGGTGTTTGTACTTTTTGCACATGTTGTTTTGATGCTGTATTCTCCTGGGTCCCAGGAGTGTTGCTTCTCTTGACATGTAAACTGGTCCTGTGTGGCCCCTTCTCTCATCAAGTGCTTGATGCGATCTGTATTGAAAGCAACTCACAAATGTCTGCGTATAAGTCTTCATAATCCCATCTAGAGTTGCACTGCGGCGTGTTTATGTTTGTTCAATGTACATATCAGCATGCAAACCTGGGCCGCATTGTTATTCAAACGTTTACAAGCAGAAATCCACAAGACTTCCTGTCGGCACACATGCTTGATCTCAGCCCGAGGGTATTTGAAGAGCATTTGGAAGTGTTATATACAAATAGCCTGCTCAGTTCGCCTCCGAGCATCATGGCTGAGTGAGCGGCAGTCACTGGCAGTTGGCCACTAAACTGGCTAGTGGCTGTGAATTAATGACAAACAGGCACAGACAAGACAAACAGGTCTTGCGCC